GGGGGCTGTGGGTAGTGGTTTGGGGATGGGGTGGGGGCTGCAGGTTGGCGGGCAGAGGTGGGGGATGGGGTGGGGGCTGCGGGTGGAGGGCTGCGGGGCGGGATTGGGGGATGTGGGTAGGGGTTTGGGGATGGGGTGGGGGCTGCAGGTTGGCGGGCAGAGGTGGGGGCTGTGGGTAGTGGTTTGGGGATGGGGTGGGGGCTGTGGGTTGGCGGGCAGTGGGGGACTGTGGGTAGAGATTGGCGGGCAGTGGGGAACTGTGGGTAGAGGTTGGGAGACAGGGTGGGGGCTGCGAGTTGGTGGGGTGCTGTGGGGGGCTGCGGGGTGGGGTTGGGGAGCAGGGACAGTCCTGGGGGTGGGTATTGGCAGGATGGAGACGGGCAGTGCCTGAGCAGGACCCTCTCTCCCGTGTCTGCAGAGCGGAGGTGGGGACCATCTTTGCCCTGAGCTGGCTCATCACGTGGTACGGCCACGTCCTCACCAGCTTCCCCCACATCCTGCGCCTCTACGACTTCTTCCTGGCCTCGCACCCACTCATGCCTGTCTACTTTGCTGCCGTGGTACGTCCAACTGCAGTCCTCAGCCCTGCGGAGCGGTGCCCCCAGCCCTGGCCTGCCTGGGGAGCAAGGGGAGTGGAATTGGGAGGGAGCCCTGTCCCCTTGCACCCCACTTCTGTGGGGGGCTTAGCAGGGGAAGGTGACCGGCCGCCAGCCTGCCTCCATCGCTCCCAAAGGCAGAAGGGCCCATTGTCCCTTGAACACAAGCCAGCGAGCACAGCTCTGTCCCCTGGCCCATCTCACCAGCTAAGCCCGCTGGGACGGGTCAGCAGCTGGCTGGGAGAGCTCTGAGTTGCTGGAGGGTGGGGGTGGGTGACGCAGGGGGAGCCAGCCCAGTGCGGTGCCAGGTCCTGTGCCTCTAGTCGGGGCCATTGATGAACCTCTGGCAGTTTTAGTCAGGCGAGTTGTTTAACCTGGAGTCCCAGCCCAACTCCCAGGAGGGTGACACTGTTCTGTGGCTCCCAGCTGGTCACGGGTTCTCTTTTAGTGCCTGTCTCAAGCTGGTGTGTGCTGTCCCTGTTCACTGTTTAACAGCTGCTGTGCTCCACCCCAGAGGTGGCTGTTTTGTCAGTGGCGTGGTAAGGTGATGGACCGTGAACCATGTGACGGGGGCATGGCAGGGGCAGCCCAAGGAGAGCCCTTGTCGGGGCTGGGAGATGTGGGTTATTGCAAAGGCTCCAGCCCCGTGGCCATGCTGGGAAGCCACACGTGTCCCATGGGACAATGACGCGCTCTCCTTGCAGATCGTCGTGCACCGGGAGGAGGAGGTGCTGGCGTGTGACTGCGACATGCCCAGCGTCCACCAGCTTCTGTCCCAAATCCCCCAGAACCTTCCGTACGAGAGCCTCATCTCCCGGGCCCTCAGGCTCTTCCAGCGTCACCCGCATGCCGAGCTGGCAAAGCAGGCGGCTCTGCAGCACCACAAGAGGTGAGGGAGGGCAGGGCTGCGGGGGAGGGGGTGTGCACCCGGCCCCCAGTGGTCTCCCAGGCGTGGGGTTGCCCAGGACCCTGGCAGGAGTGTCTGGTTAAAGGTGCAACTCTTCCCTTCCATTGTTCATGTAGCTGCTGCAGGGCTGGCTGGCTGCCCCCCTCCCCGACCATGCCAGGGGCCAGGGTTCCTAAACTCCTTGTCGATTTCCCTCTGCCCTCGGAGCAGCGAGAAAACCAGGCGGTCTGGCCGAGCTCTCAGGCATGCTGGCAGCTGCAGCAGGTGGGGCGTGGGGGGACTGGGCACCCCTCTTAACTCGTGGTGTCTGGCAGGCTGGTGGTGAGCCAACCCCCCGCATGCAGCCCTGGGGCTGAGAGGCTCCCAGACCGCAGCACAGGCTGGTAGTGCCAGAGCTGAAGGGCCCTGGCTGTGGGAGGACTGGCGCGAATGGCTTTTCTGTGGGTCTCCGGCCCCTAGGCGGCGACGTAATGGCGGACATTGGAGCCGGTCCGATTCCCTCCCATCCAGGATGTCCAGCTCGGCAGAGCCGAGGGCTGCACTGGCCAACAGCCAGAAGCCGGGGGGGTTGCGCTCAGAGATGCCCCCCTGCCTTCTCTTAACGTGGGAGTGCAGCCGAGGACAGGTCTCCCCATGCAGCGCGGCCTGGCCAGCCAGGAAGAGAGCTGCATGCTGGGACCTGTGCAGGCTGCGCATCTCGGTACTAGGTGGGGAGCGCCCTGGCCAGCCCTGCATGTCACCCCTGCGCTAACCAGCTCCCTCCCCGTCTCTTCCCAGCATCTCCATAGGCTCCTTCACTGCCTTCCAGCTGGCCACCTCCCACCAGCGCCCGGACGCCGTGCTGCGCAGACAGCGGCAGCAGGACAGCGCCCACGCCGAAGCCACTGCTCTCCTGCCCACGGCCGGGCACAGCCCGCTGGTGAAAGCAGCTGTGTGGGGGATTTCAGCCACGCTGGGGGCAGCGGCTCTGGCCGTCACACAGACTGCCCTGGAGTGGGCACCGGAGTTCTTACTGCAGCTCTTCTAGCGCCCGGCAAGCCAGCCAGGACCCTGCGGCCGGCGCGTGCCCCGCGCCACGGAGCCACAGCCCTCGTGCCTCCTCCGACTTAATTTATTGGACTGTCAAAGGCTGGACAGCCGAGCTCAGCCAGGCTGCGCCCAGCTCAGAGCGGCCAGTAGCCAAAGCACTAGCCACAGTGGCACCGAACTGGGACAGACCTTTCCTGCTGCTGCCTGAGCCACTCATGGCCTGGAGGGGGCAGGGCTGGGCTTACACCCCGGGCGAGAGCCGGGACTCGAACGCTGGGTCTCTCCCATGGCTGGGGCAGGCCCCACCCTGGCTCTCAGGTGGAAGCATAGAACGGTGACCGCGGGGCACTTTCAGGGGAACAGAGCACTAATCCCCAGCCCCCCCGATGGCCCCAGAGAGCTTTCCTAGGTCCCTTTCCCCAGCCTCTGCCCCGTGGGGCTGTGCTCCTGCAGGCCGTCCTGCTGCACAGGGGGCAGGTGTTTGCTAAGCACCAGCTGCCTGCGTGTTTGTGCACAGGACCTAGGAAGAGAGCCGCCCCCACCCGGAGGGGCCAGGCAGGATGGTGTGAGCGGCTGGGGGCTCCGCGGGAAGCGCTGTCCCAGCAGAAGGGGGGGGGGCGCGCTGCAGGCCGGGGCAGCGTGCCAGGAATGGCAGAAGGCGGGGCTCACTGGAGTGAGGGCGCACAGGCTGCAGGCATGAGCAGAGCCTGGAAAGCAGTGAGGAAGGGCGCCCTGTGCAGGCTGTGCCAGGGGCGAGAGGCCTCGCCTAGATCGCTGCTTCTCTCCTGCCTGTGTAGCACCCAGGGTCCTCCTGGCATCTCCTCTGTACCCGTCCTCTGCTCTCGCCTCGGCCCTGCCAGCCCGGCCCCTCAGCCCAGGATGGAGAGACGCCGGGCCCAGAGTCTGGGACAGGCCCTTTTCTCAGGGCTTCAACTTTATTTCTTCCACGTAAAGCCAGTGCAGCCCATCAGCCGTCCCTTCCCCCAGCACCGGGAAAGCAGCCAGTGGTGCCTGCCTCCCCCTGCGAGTCCCAAGAGGTGGTAGCAGCAAATGGGGTCAGCTGGGCTCCCCCCGCTGCAGGGGGGGCAGGCTGCTGCCTGGGAAAGGCACAGCCCCCGGAGCACTGGGTACGGGTGTGAATAAAGTGCGTGAGCCTGGCCCCCTGTGTCTCACTGGCTGGGGGGAGAAGGAGGGTTGAGGGAACCAGTTCCAATGGTTAGAGCAGGGGGGCGAGGGTGTGGGAGGGCTGGGTTCTGCTGTCCCCTCATGGCCTCTGCGGCTGGCCAGAGCCAGAGAGAGGCCGGCGTCTGTGGGTGCTTGGGTTAGGGGAGCGCAGTGTGAGCCCCCCAGGGTTGATTTCCTGGGGGCTGAGCAACACCCCCACTCGCTGGTGCAGTCAATGGCAGCTTTGGGTGCCCTGCACTGACAGGGCCGAGTTGCCTGCCACCCGGGAGCTGCCCCTGGGCCTGCAAGAAGAGCTGGGCTGGGGGACGGGCGCCAAGGGGCTGGCTGCCTGGGGTGGATACAGTCCCTGCCGGTTGAAGCTCACTACTTCTCCCGTGGCGTTTTGGGTGGAGTTGTGAAGCCAGGCCCTGCGTGGTGCTGGATTGTGATGGGGTTGTGGGGCTCGGTGCCTGGAGCACCTGTGCCACTGGTGTAGGGTACTTCACAGGCACCGCTGGGGGCTGGCCCGAAGCAGCCGTCGCCGCAGGGCAGGAGATACCGTTCCACCACTGCAGCCCCTCCTGCACCGGCCTCACCAGGGAAACGAGGGGCTTCCTGGGCTGGACTGAGCCTGTTGGAGCCGTGCTGGAAGCCCCACCCCATCCACACAGGAGCTTTCCTACCCCCGGCCAGGCTGGCTGTAACAGTGCTCAGGCAGCCCGGAGCTCGCCTGCCCCCCAGCACTGCCTGCGAGGCCCAGCCCTGTGCGCCACTCCCCCCACCTGCCCTAGCCCCCTCTCTGCCTGTCCCCTGCTGCCAGCCTCACCCCCTCAGGTGCCTTGGCAGCTCTCTGGCCTTCGTGCTCTCTGCTCGCCTCGGTCTGGCTGGCGCGGCAGAGGTGGGAGCCTAACACCGGAGGCGGGGGCTTGGCCTTGGTGACACGAGCAGTTGGCTGCGCCCTGGGGAACGGTACGACTGCTGCATGGGAGGAGTTCAGCCCTGCCGTGGGAATCCCCAACCGCCCACCCCTCCAGGGCCCAGCCCGTTAGTGGTGCCTCATCCCTCTGACAGGCCAGGCCTGCGCCGTGCAATGTGCCGGGGTGGCCTCAGCCCCGCCACTGGGTGACACCGACCCAGCAGTGGTTCTACAGCGGCTCCAGCCCCCTGGCAGCCCCGATCAAAGGCGAGTCTCCCTGACGCTGGGACGGCCGCGTCCGGCTGGGGCGAGTGGGATTTAAACGTGGGAGGAGGACAGCGGTGTGAGCCTAGAGCTGCGTGGAGCAGAGCCAGGGGCAGGTGCCCAGAGCTACGCTGGTGAATGGTGCCTCATGCAGCACACCGATGGCTCAGAGGCTGAGGGGCCAGCTGGGCCAGTCGGACCCTGTGGGAGGCTCAGATGCAGGGCACCTCTGGGTGCAGTGGGGCTGCAGGGCAGCACGTGAGCCGTGCCGGGAGATGGAGGCTGCAGCTCCCTGGGGCCAGGTGGAGGAAGGGCCCTGAGCAGAGGCCTGAGGTCCAGGCATGTTATGCTGGGGAGGAGCGAGGCAGGGCAGACAGCTCGGCTCATGACCGCCCCGAGCAGGGCTGTGAGCACTGTGTGAGCGGGGGGGAGCAGGGGGTCTCAGCACCCAGTGGGACACAGCTGTGGCAGGGGAGCGTTTGCACTGGTCCTGGCAGGGGTCGCTGTGGGTGCAGCTGGAAGGAGGAGGGTGGGGTGTTTGCACGGCCAGTGAGGGGTGGGGACGAGGCTGTGGCCATCTCACAATCCTGCCTTGACGGGAGCTGTGGTGCCTGGGCCTTTCCAGCCCCCAGTAACCCCCTCCCCCCAAGGCTGGCTGCACAGAGGGCTTGCTGGTGCTGCCCCCTTCTGCCGGGGTGGTGTCTGGTAACAGCTGTAAGCCTCTTTCCTGCATCCCACACCCAAAGCCCCCCAGGCTCTCGGCCCCTCGCTTGCAAGGACCTGGCGCAGACAATGGCCACGGTATCATAGATACCAAGAGGCCAAGGCCAGAAGGGCCCGTGGTGATCATCTCCTCCAGCCTTGTGACCCAGATCACACTGTGTCAGTGACCGGTCCTCTTCATTATTTCCCACTCCCTCAGTTTCTGTGTCAGCTGCAAACTTTATCAGGGATGATTTTATGTTTTCTTCCAGCTCATTGATAAAAATGTTAGTGCAGGGCCAAAACTGATCCCTGTGGGACCCCCCTGGAAACCCACCTGCTCAAGGATGAGGCCCCATTTATAATTACCTGTTGGGACCTATCGGGCAGCTTTTAATCCATTCAATGTGCACCAAGTTAAATTTTATATCGTTCTAGTTTTGTAATCAAAATGTCAGGAGGTATCAAGTCAAAAGCCCAAAAGTTTATGTATGTTGCATCAACACTATTACCTTTTTCAACCAAATTTATAATCTCATCAAAAAACTATCAAGTTAGTTTGACAGGATCTATTTTCCATAAACCCAGGTTGATTGGCATTAATTATATCACCCTCCTTTAATTCTTTATTAATCGAGTACTGTATCAGCTGCTCCACTATCTTCCCTGGGATAGATGTCAGATTGACAGGCCTCTAATTACCCTGGTCATCCCGTTTACCCTTTTTAAATATTGGTGTAACATCAGCTTTATTCTAGTCTTCTGGAACTTTCCTGGTATTCTAAAACACTGAAAATCAACATTAATGGTGCGGTGAGCACCTCAGACAGCTCTTTTAAAACTCTTGTATGCACGTTACCTGCTGATTTTTAATTGTCTAACTTTAGTAGCTGCTGTCCAACATCCTCCTGAGAGACTAGTAGACTGGAAAGAGCGTTATATGGGATGACTACATCTTTTTTTGACAGAACAAAAATATTTATTGAACTTTTCTGCATTATTATTGATAAAGTCTACAATTTCCATCTAGTAATGAATGGATTATTCTTTTTGTTCCTAATATACTCCTTCTTATTGTCCTTAATTCTGCTGGCCATAGATTTTGCCTTGTATCCTTGTGCTTCCCTTATTAATGTTCTACAATTCCTAATAATGTTCTAGTTTCTGATTTATATTCATTATTATCAACTTCCCCTTTCTGTGCTTTGTTACATATTTTCTAGCTGCTGTTACTTTCCCTCTCAACCAGGGTTTTTTTTTAACCAATATGGCTGCCTTCTTTGAGACCCTTGTTGATGTTTCAGCTAAGAGGTCAAGGACTGAATGGATACACAGGGACTGAGCCCGCCCCCCACCTCCTCCTCTTGTTGTTTGGAGAGTTCTGGATTGACAGCTGTGGATACCCTCAATGTGCCTTTACAGAGTGGAAAAGCTGCTAGTTAATTTCATAGATTCATAGACTATCAGGGTTGGAAGGGACCTCCGGAGGTTTGTGCCTTTGCTGTGGCGTGAGGCCTTTAGGACTTTCTGCTCCTTTTTGACTGCACTAAATCCACTTCACAAGAAACAAGCGCATTAAGAATGGAGAAAATAAAATCAAGGGGTTTTGTTTTGTTTTAAATAATTGATTTGAACTGGCCGCCCTTATGAGTCCCATTAAAATTCCATTAGTGTTGTGTAAGATATGTGATCATTTCTGGAAACTTTAAAAGAATTTCCACCCCTTGCCTTGTGCTAGACACTTAGCTAGGTAATAATGCTCTGAGCATGGCATGTACCCTGGTCAGTGTGGGGACGAGAGTACACACTGGGCTAGTGAAATATTTATTTATACGCCTATAATGCTCCAATTCAGGGGGGTCTCAATAGGCAGGTGACAGCGGCTTCCTAGATAAACACACACACACACGACTTTCTGGCGCCAGTCCAAAGTGACACAGTTGTTTTGCCAGGCTGGGAGGCTAGCAAGCAAAATGGTTATTAACAGTTAAAGGTGACCGTATTCCTAAGCAGGGGATGAGTCTAGGGGCTGTCCAGAGAGTAGCTCGGGGAGGGAGAAAAGCCAGCAGAGAAAGTTTGTAATGAAAAATCGAGAGGGAGTTTGTCACGGACTCACAGATCGTGCCCACTCTTGGCCCCGTGCGGTCCATGGGGGGGTGCCCCTTTCAGTGCGACAGCCCTTCTCGGGGGTCCACTCTCTCCCGGGGTTGACCCCTCCACCTCCTGGAGCCGCACCTCTCTGAGCCTTAGCACGTCTGTCTCTGCCGTGGGCCCCCTCAGGGAGTCCACTCGCTCTGGACCCCCGGAGCCTCCACCCCTGAAGGGGTTGATGCAACCCTGTTCTCTAGACCGGAGTGACTCTCAGCCAGCATAAAACAGGAGGATTTATTGAGAGTTGAACACAGCCCAGGAAACTCTCAGGGCCTCAGGCCTGGCCTCCCTCAGCCCAGCACATCCCAGTCTCTCTGCCTCCAGGTGGGCTCTGCCTGCTCCCCGTCTCCAGCCCCGAGCCCCCCTGCTCCCAGCTGGGCATCTGAGATCCCCGGCCCCAGGCCCCGCCTCTGTCCATTGTCTTCTCTCCAGGTAAACAGGGTCGTAAACCGGGGCCTCCTCTCCTCGCTTCTGTCCTCTGGCTGGAACCGGCTGGTTAGGTCACTGGGTCCTCACTCTGCAGCCCATTGTCCGCCCACTGTCCCGAACCGGCTGCGTCTCCTCAGCTGGGCCTCCGGGTCGCCAGGTCACCAGTCGCTGGGGTATCCATCCTCCCGGCCATCGGCTGGGTCCCCAAGTCCTCTCTCCGGTCCTCTGCAAAACACACCCCCTCTCCCCTCACCTCATTCTCTAGACCGAAGCGACTCTCAGCCAGCATAAAACAGGAGGGTTTATTGAGAGTTGGAAATTCTCATAGCCTCAGGCCTGGCCTCCCTCAGCCCAGCACATCCCAGTCTCCCTGCATCCAGGTGGGCTCTGCCTGCTCCCCCTCTCCAGCCCAGAGCCCCCCTGCTCCCAGCTGGGCATCTGAGATCCCCAGGCCCCGCCTCTGTCCATTGTCTTCTCTCCAGGTAAACAGGGTCGTAAACCGGGGCCTCCTCTCCTGCTTCTGTCCTCTGGC